ATCGGTTGGTTTTAATTGATCATTTTGTGACCCAAATGTGATACTGTGTCGGTGTTCTCTCCCGTTCTCGCTCTCTCTCTCTCCCCTCATAATAGATTTGCTATATAATTAGGTAATTTGGCAGTGGACCTCAAGAGTCAAGATTGCCTATCAAGTATTAATATTAGAATTAGATACGCGAGGGGAATTTAGAATTAATTTGCAGTTTGTTTGGATTGAGCGATTTCATACTTTCGCTCCGTTTTAACTACGAAAATGTAATTTACTTTTCAGAATATATTAGTCGGGATGATAAAAATGATAATTCAATCAGAGTGTATTCGACAATTTTAACTCGGTTTCTTATTATGGGGTGCTGACATTACGTGACAGCTGTAGACACAGCTAGATAATAACTTAATAAATACAAGTCTGTCTCTTTGGGAATTTCATGCCTCAAACGATATCCGAACTGGATGTACTGCAAATCTAACACATCAAGAATTAAATTTAGATAGTGTTTGGAAGGACATGTGACACATTTTAGCATCGCATTACCACCCTTTAAGGTAACATCTGTTACATTTACTTGACATAAATTGATAAATTTCAATAGACGAATAAAGCTACCGTTTAATTGACAAATTTTGTTGTTGACATAATCAGAAAATTGTAATCATCGAGAGTAAGATTGGGTACATAAATCATTGCCTTACTTAACACATGAACAATTGCACGTTAATGGCGTTCTAGTACTTGAGTAGTACTAGTAATTAGTTCCACCAACTACATATTCTGATAAAGTTCGAGAATCTTCTTTACAATATTTATTGGTTATTCTAAATTATTAAATTTACTGATTGCAACATAATATTATCACATCGCTACATCTGACACTGGAAACACGGATCATACTCGCCAAAGACACTTTTTCAGTTGAGTAGATATACCAAATAAGTTATGATGTTTATCGACGGGTGGAGGGGGGCTTGTCGGTAGTTTGATGCAAAACTGGCGGGTAGCCAGGACTTTCTATTTTTATTAATGGACATGTTCATTGGAAGTTGAGGTTATTGGTACGCATACAGAAATATTAACCAAGCATGTTCAGAAGTTCTCAACAAAGAAACTTTATTGTTGTTATGCACTATAATGTTGCAACTTTACATTTTTGTGAATCTGTTAACTATAGCTGCCTATAGTTTAAGTTAACAGTATAGTATTCCTTATCCTAAAATGCAGTAGATTATTAATTAGATCAATCTAACAATCATAAAACATTATTGGTTAAAGAGCAGGGATTTGACGGTTATACTTATAAGGCAAGATTCGGTAAACTTTGTCGCACACTCAGAATATGATACCTATTTTCTACTGTGTCCTAAAAACTTTATTATATCAGGCTTCACCTATGAATAGAAGAATCGTCCATCAGGAAGATGAATAATTTTGCAGTGCCAGTATTTTGTCGGTTCCATTCGATATTATCTTACCCATTCAGTTAAATTTTTAAACATTGAAGGACAAATTAACAGTTTAACGTACAGGAGTTAAGCGGACAAAGATAATCGAATAGTTGTAATTACTTGTTTATAGTTTCTAAATATGAATGTAAGATGTAAGATTTGTGTCTGTTCGTGGCCTTGCAATAATTAGTCAAAGCCATAAAAAATAGATCATGCCGATATCTTTCTAGAATGAAGGTATCTTTTACTAAATTAAATTTCCCCTTCAGAAGAAGATGAACAGGGAGACAACCAAAACTACTCTGATGCAGCAGCCCTGAAAGTCAGCTTAATTTTCCTCGTCGTTCTCCCATGTTTGCTGTAAATATGAGCATCTAAAATTGTTGTGGGCTTGAATGGTTCTACGGTACAAAACACTATTTTAACATGGTGTTTTATCGGGATGTGATAGAAAAATAACAACTCAAAAACCCTGACGAATCTATAAATTTGTAATCTATAATTAAACTTTTGATATTTAAAATTTTAATATTTTAGACAACTTTTAATGCTTTAATAAAAAATAAAACTAAAAGAAAGAGACTGCGGTTCAGTAATTATTGATATTCATTATATGTTTATTCAGAATACTTAATTATATTTATTGTAATATACATTTTTTTCCCGATCCATGACTCTTGTGTCAGGACTAGGAACGTGAACGAAGCTTTTTTTTATTTGGACCGAGTTAAATTGTTATAAAGCAATGAAAGGCATTAGTTTGGTCAAATCAAACAGAACATATGCTATCAGACTTTCAACTGAGTACAGTAGGGTTAAAACAGTTTCGACGCTAGCAACGATCTTGACCATTGTTAATGATCTGGCCCGGCGCGCGCTACTTCGTAGCTCTTGCCATCGGGAAGAAAAGCGGCGCGCGCTACTTCGAAGAAACTTAGACGAGTAACATCCGTCAAGCAACGATCCCCTTTTACATAGTTCCACTAAAATGATAATTCAAGATTAAATATGTATAGTGATAGGTAAATAAAGTCAAAAATGTAATAAAACGGTAGGGATAAAGTATACTGAAACTAAGTAAACGTAGTCGACACTTGTCATACGTTGTATGACCCGCCGCGCACGAAGTGCACGGCTCCCCCTGTATCGTCGTTTTTCTCCAGAGCAGCCAGATCCTTCCTAACCTCAGAGCACTCCCCCTCCTCCATACCTTCTTTTACGTACCAATGGACGAAGGCTCTCTTGGCATACATAAAATCGAAATTGTGGTCTGCAATCATACGAGCTCAAGCCTCAGAGATGGCGATGGTGTTGGACAACATCAAACATGCACACAGCCCTATGTATACACAGTAAAGAGGCGAGTTTTTGTGGTTCTACAACTTAAGATGTATTGTAGGTTTATAAACTACCAGGACGCGCGCCAAGTTGGACTCGTCGATGGAACAGATAAATTTTACGAGTATCACCCGTTAAAAGATGTAGCATTGGTGGTTTATATTAACATTACGGGCCCAACTTTCACCTTCCCACAATAAATTTTCCTATAAATAATTTAGTGTATTAAAATCATAAAAATATCTAACGTACGTTGAACAGTGTATAAAATAAATTTTAAAATCAAGTAATATCAGACGAGTATTAAATCCACCAAAAGTATATTATAGACTGACAGTGACACAAAACAAATAAACACTGCAATCCAAAACTACCCCGTACTGTTGTCAAGCACAAATAGATAGCAATTCACGGATGAGTGTTTACTTGGAGTTGGGGAGCTCAGGCTATTATGTTCATAAACATAATAGAGATTTGGCGGAATGACAGGCTGAGCGCGGCCCAGTAAATGAGTGTAAGTAAAGCCCTCAGTCAAACACACTATTGATATCATCAATATTACCGTATTTGTTACTAAAATCAAGCTTCTTGGAAATAGATATAAACCGACGCGAGATTTCAGCAATTTCTTTTTAAACCCTAAACTCACAAATTTATTTACGATATTCCTCAGTCTATCAGCAAAACCATCAATATCTGAACATATTCTAAAATATCGAATAATTTCCCTGCAGTTTCTTTTCGTTTAAATCGTAAATTCGCGCGCAAAAATTTCACCGGCGCGCCTTCCATTAATGATGCAATAGACGCATACATTATAAGCAGCGAGTGTGTTAACGGACGGTCGCTTGCGCCGCGCGAAATATAAATAGAATAGCGATCAATTATGTGTCAACACTTACAACTTAATATTATATTGTGTTGTTAGATTATTTTGTATGATGAGCCAATTTATAATTAGAATTAATTAGTAATAATAGTTTATGTTAATGTTATTTGTTACCGTCAAATACGCGCGGCGTTCAATTCAGTGTTGTGTGCTGATAAATATGGTAGTAATATGATATATATTTGATACAAGTATCATTCTTACATTACATTATAATTATATAAATATATGGTTCAATTGTTTTGCATCAAAAGGGAGGTAGCAAATATTCTTTCTGCGATCATATTTAAGTTATAATGTATAAATCAGTAAACTGAAAACACAGAGCCACGCGCCGATTTGTACGGCATTTCGTCATTATAACAACCTTTTAAATGCCATAAATTCTACCCAGTTCATTTTTCTTATAATTAGTATTGAACATAACTTTTGTGAAATAATGATTTGATATTAACTGCATGTATCATTCGTTGAATTTTAGTCCAAGATGGGTTTTTTATTTTCAGAGGGGCGCGTGTTTTGCTAGATTTTACAATCTGCAATCGTTGAAGACTACCCTCCGCATAACTTTGGCTTCGAAGTTACAAAATTGTGTTGGTAGCTGTGTAGTACCAACGAATTTAAAACCTGTTTTGTCAAACACAAATTTGATTAAATTCATTTTAACTAAGTTGTTTCTTCTTCAATAATTATTTCAATTGACTTGGCGAGTCAAAACGATAGTTTGATTTCGGTTTCATGAAAATTGTCAAGTATTGCTACAGGGCCTTTGGAATGACTTTAGATGGTCCGAATTTAAACTATTGCCACAAACTTCACTCTCTAAATCAGCTGTAGCTGAAATTGCAAATCGTGATTTAATTTTTTTAGAGTCCGCTGAAATGAATGTAGTCATCTTTCGTTAGTTTGGGATGTAAAGTCTTTGCAGCTTCAGTGATTTAAATCCAGTTAAAACGGATTTTAATTTATATTTCATCAGTAAAACAAAGTTATAATCTGTCGAAGGATTGTTACACATTCTTTAATTTTATTTCCTTTATCTTCAGACCATGTACAGCAGGGTGTCAAGAAATTTTATGTGTATTTTATGATGAAATCAAAATTTTTCGACGGGTCATAAATTTACTTCTGAATATCGAAATTACAGAATTCAAAAATGTATGTGTGCAGCTGGTTACGATAAGTTGAGAACCGTTGGGTGTTGATTTACAGGATCAACTCAGTTTTGGGATTTAAATACATTCATGTCCTTGTTAAACACATTTAATTAAGATTAACGTGGCATGAAAACTTAAGTTATTTTAATTCACTGCAAAATCAATAGATCTTCAATAAGAATGAAAAAAAGATCGGCACTCAACACGGTGAAAGGCAACCTCAACATACATCAGCAGATAGCCCTTACTCTTCAGATTATTTTACAAATATGAGGTATTTACTAATCAGTTATAACTTATAATTATATTTCGTTACTTCGATCTATGAAAAGCTCTGTTACAACTTACAGTTACATACAAATTTGCATTTAAACCTTATTTAAAGTTCGCACATGTTTCCATGGTTTTAGTCTTGAACATTTTATTGTCAACAAAGGACACTTCAAGGGTTTTGATAAAAGTTATCGAGAAATGTTGTCATAAAATTGGTTAAAAGGGATATATGACTTGCTAGGCTGTTGAACAAGGCAGTGAAAACAGTGGGAAAAAATTAACCACAATATGAACTTCTGAGAATTGTTTACAATTAGAATTAGAATTAGAATTAAATTTGGGAAATTTACATAGAAATTCAAGAAGGATAAAAATAATTTAAAGAAGCTTCAAGATGCTGTGCAGTACATTCAAGTCAGTCAAAAACTGTTAGAAGAATACCCTTCTAAGGACATAGAATCAAAACATATAGTAGGTAATAAATTATAAGTTAAGATCGTTTATGAATAGACTTAATATACTGCCCTGTGGCACACCTGTGTTTACAGGAAGCAGTTTACTTACATTACCACGTATTTTGGTGCACTGTTTTCTGCCTCCAAGGTAGCTTTAAAACCACTTAATGACAAAGCCATCCACGCCATAATACTTAAGTTTTTCTCAATAGAATATTATGGCTTAGTGTGTCAAAAGCCTTTTTATGTCCAAGAATGCAATTGCAGGTTTCTTCGACGATTCCTTAGACATAAATATTTTGTCAAATAGATTAAGCATAAGGAAAGTGGTTGAATGGTCTTTCCTAAATCCATACTGATGGTTGGTTAGTAGTTTATTTGTTTCAACATAATGGGTAAGTTTTTGGTTAACAAAGTATTCTATACATCAGAGTATGTTATATCTAAGTTGAGTAAGTTGTAATTGACACTTTGGTTAATCAATATACCACATCCCCCTCTTCCCTTATCATGAGGTCTATCACACCTTAAAAAATCGAAGTTCAGAGGAAGTTTAGTGTACTAGTGTCTATATCAGATTTAACAGCATAAAACAGTTACTCACTTCTGTTTGTGATAAATATAGCTTGAGAGATATAAAAACGTTAATTAATTAGAAATTTGTGCTGATCTAACATTTTAAACCAGATGAAACAGTAATCCTGTTATTATTCATGTTGATACCCTAAATACCCTTGGATTATAAAATTTTAGTGAAGTTTAACGCAAGTTAGTTTAATAACCCAATAAGATACTCGATTTTATTATGCGCCATTATTTCGAATCTAATGAGTTATTAATCCTAGTCCTTTCTAAATTACATGTTTCTTAGGTTATAAATGGTAGTAAAGTGTATGGCGACACATTCTGGCGGTATTGGAATACTCCAACAGTTCTGATTGCTATATCCCTCTTGGGTGAGTTATTACACATGTAGGAAACAAGGATACTAAGGTGATAATAACCGTATTGAATACACAATAGCAATCTGGTTTAATCGTGTATTATTATTTAGTTTCATGATTTTTTCCTTTCATTGAAAGTTCTGACTAAATATTTGATAATTACTCGGACTCTAAAACGTGGAGTAAAACTTCTGATCCATTAGTCGCTCAAGTGATGTGCCCCAGAACCTCACGCCTGAGTGACAGTGGGCCTTATATAAAAGTCATAACAAAAATTCATAACAAATTAGTTCATATGACGACAAACTTTTATTTTATAGTAAATACCGTGCAATCCTAAACCTACTACAAGTACTAAACATAAATATACACAGTAAATGTACTATATAGTAAATATACTACACATGATTCATAAGCATGGAATGTTACAACGGTGTACAGGTGCATGATGGGGGGGGGGGGGGGTCAACCTCATTTTACCTCATTCGGGCAGCCAAAAAAGACAAAATTGGGATGAGGTGAAATGAGGTAAAATGATGTAAATTAATCTAGTTTTCTGAGCCTATTTTAGAGACAAAAAAGTTTTATTCGATGAAAAATTATTATTTATGAAAAGAAAATTGAACATTTCAATTTCCATGATCCATTAGGATATTGTTAATAGCACTTGCTAAGTTTTGTAAAGGAATCATTACAATTATCACACTTATTTCAAGATTACAAGATATCTCCGCTTCTGATTGGAGCTATAGGTTGTACTTGTTGAGTTATTAGGTCAAATCCCATTTTTACGCTCTCGTGAGTACGATTGATGCATTTATTTCAAGATTTATCAGCTTCTGATTAGAGCTAAGCGTTCATCTTGGGCATTGAAATGGTCAGAATCATCATATTGAGTTGGGTAGAGCATGGTTTCAAAGTCTTCAGACTTCAGGTTGTTGAGTTATTTGGTCAGATCCCATTTTTACGCTCTCGCGAGTAGCGATTGATGCACTTATTTCAAGATATCTCCGCTTCTGATTGGAGCTAAGCGCTCATCTTGGGCATTAAAATGGTCAGAATCATCATATTGATTTGGGTAGAGCATGGTTTCAAAGTCTTCAAACTTCAGGTTGTTGAGTTATTAGGTCAGATCCCTTTTTACACTCCCCCGAATAGCGATTGATGCACTTATTTCAAGATATCTCAGCTTCTGAGTGGAGTTGTGGAGATAAGCGTTCATCATGGGCATTAAAATATCAAATTAAGTAGAATCGAGCATGGTTTTAAAATCTTTAGACTTCAGGTTATTAAATTATTAGGTTAAACCCTATTTTTATGCTCTCGCAAGAATGGTTACTGCAATGTTGAAAATATTTATTGGATGAACTGTAATTAATCGCCAGGAAAAAGTTGTTTGCCAAGAAATATCAGTAAAATATCAGTAAAATTTCACTAAAACCTCTAGCACTAGGAACATGCTTTACCCCACTTAATATGACCATACTGACCATTTCAATGCCCATGATAAGCACTTAGCTTCAATCAGAAGCTGCAATATCTTGTAATAAGTGTGTCAATCGCTACTCGCAAGAGTGTAAAAATATGTTTTAACCTAATAATTCAAAAACCTGAAGTCTGAAGACTTTGAAACCACGCCCTACCCCACTCAATGTGATAATTCTGACCATTTCAATGCCCAAGATGAACGCTTAGCTCCAATCAGAAGCTGATATATCAGTAGCATCAATCGCTACTCGCGAGAGCGTAAAAATGGGATCTGAACTAATAACTCAACAACCTGAAGTCTGAAGACTTTGAAACCATGCGGCATGCTCCACCCCACTCAATATGATGATTCTGACCATTTCAATGCCTAAGATGAGCGTTACACTCCAATCAGAAGCTGAGATATCTTGAAATAAGTACATCAATTGCTACTCGCGAGAGCGTAAAAATGGGATCTGACCAAATAACTCAACAACCTGAAGTCTGAAGACTTTAAAACCATGCTCTACCCCACTCAATGTGATAATTCTGACCATAATAATGCTCAAGATGAGCGCTTAGCTCCAATCAGAAGCGGAGATATCTTGAAATAAGTGTGATAATTGTTACTCTCGAGACTGCTAGTATATAGTAAAATCGGATTTTTGGCGACTCAGACTTTTCCTGTTCTTTCTTGATTTTCTCCAACTCTTCAGCCAGTTTCACTACTTCAAGACTTGCAGCACCGTTGTTCTGATTAGTGCTGTTTTCTAGCGAAGTGTTGGTATCTGGTCGAGCCTGGTTGATTTCCTTAGTGTGACCTGGCGTTCCCATTCCAGACGGTGGTTCATCACACTCCCCAATGTTGTTGTTTTTGTTGACTGCTATGCAGTCTGAGCATAACCATACCAAACCACTGAGTTGGGTTGGGAGACTTTCGTAAAGCTCCATTTGGGCTGTGAAGTTTTCACAGTCGTGAGCTCCATGAAGACAACTCCAACATCTGTATTTGGGCTGGAAGCCCGGCATCACTGTGTACTCTTCTGAACACTCGGATCAAACAGCAGGGTACAGAGAAATGATCTCTGACACAATCCGTTTAGCTAGTTTCTCTCGTGAGCTGAAAAGTTTCTTCTTTAATCCTCTGCTAACTAGAGGCAACTTAAGGTAATTTCCAAGAGCGTCTAGCTCGCCTCTGTTGACCTTGGCCAGTTTAGAGATTTTGACAGAAGAATCCAGGGAAGGATCAAATACAGTGAGTACTCGTTTCGAAATAGGGTCGGCATCCTTCAGCAGTCTCCCGATGACACTCTTTATCTTGTCACTCAGATTCTCGATGGTTGACATCGTGATGTGAGGTTGTAGTGTAGAAAGAGGTATCAGAAGTTATCAGAAGCAATAGTAGTAGTAGTAGCGTCACACAACACAACAGTTACAGCACGGGTTACCTGGACTTGGGAGAAGATTTCACCTGGACAACCCGGCTGCTGAAATTGTTTCTTCAAGTGTTCCGCTGTTACCACTGTTACCACAAGTCTGAAATAGGAGTACAGCAGTAAATAGTTCAACTTTTGACTTTGAACTATAAAATAGAGAGCTGTATTGCCATATTAGGCACTTGGATGGATCAAGCACAAAGGGAGCTTCTCAACGGGAAACTAACTTGATCCTAAAGCTTGTGTTCAGCAGGGCACACATATGATGTGGTCCCTGTGTTCACCGATAGCCTAATGTCAGGTGTACGTCTATCGGACTACCATAGTACACCTCAAATTATTTGTTATTTGTTATACAGTATTCAGATGAACTATTATTTTGTACAGTGCAGTGTTTGACTGAATTTATTGTGTTTTGGTTCACACACATGCCACACATAAAGTACACACACACACCTATTGCTTATTTGTTAGTAGGTATTAACTGCACATGACTACAGCCTTTATATATAATTGAGGGATGAAGTCCTTAGTTTATCCTGACCACAATTGCTTAGTTGTTGCAGCTCTTAGTACCCTAGCCACTTAGTACCCTAGCCACTTGATACCCTAGTACGAGCTTTGTTTTTGCATAATGTACTAGCATTATAATTAATTAATTAAATATACATATTCTGGGGGTCGTATAGACCTATATTCTGGGGGCCCGTAAAATCGTGGTGGCCATAACTTTTTTCCAAATTGTCAGTTTGCAGATGTCTCGATGAAAAGATAGCTTAAAATAATACTTATACTCATACCAGTAGCCTTAATGGCATGTGTTGGACAGATTTTTGTCATGACAATTTTTCGCCATATTTACCCCTCTAGAAAATGACAACATCGTTAAAATCTTTCGCTGTCATGACCAAATATACCAAAATACCTCATAACATGTGGGTCCAAAATTTTTATTCAGAAACATTAGTTACATGTTTTACTCCAACCTAGCAGTAACAGATCCCATTAGTATCGCTTATCTTGGTTAGAACTGTATCCACTAACATGACCTATATTTTGGGGGCCACCTATATTCTGGGGGCCATATACCCGTAGTGAAACAGCTGGTCCTTCTAGTTCGACAGTACCAATATGTTACCCTGGGTTTGTTCTTGGTGATCAGTGGTTCCTTCTCAGTTATATTTGCTGTCAGCATGTTTAGTTTGCTTTGCAAAGTTTGTTTCTTGTCTCTATCATGGACAACTTGGGTGTTTTCTTAGTGCTTCTACTTGTGAAGAAACCAAAGGTTCAATTCTTCTCCAATCAGTCTCCCCCTTTTGAATTAGTGAGATTAACTATAGAACGACTTAAAAGGAATCTAGCTGTTTATAACGCGCAAAAATTGTGAACGCGCCTTTGTGATGTGTTATTAGGAAGAAATTCGGATTTGGCGGGATAATCACAGACTCTGCATACAAAGTATTTCCCGCCCTAAAGAATATGCTAGAAGTTCTGGGTGAGTTTTCTACATGTTTGTCAGTCACGATTGTCTTTCTGCCGAACGGAAAAAAAATGTAAGCAATTTTTGCGCTAGCGCCTAGCGACCACGCGCGCGCAATATAACCGAGCCGCGCATAATAATATGTAATTAATAATTTTAGCATATCCAAGCTTCCAAAATCGACCATAACTTGACTTCTGATGATAAATTTGTTAATTCATTAATACCATTCTAGAGGTAATCGTTTAAACTTCAATTCAGTTTCAAAGTTTAGTCCGAAAGAAGGTCAATTTTGTCTAAAATCGCCACTAAAGAGACAAATTCGGATTTGTGTACAGAAAATAAACATTTTGGCAGAATTTTCAAAGTCTTCAGCATTCTCTCTGGTATTGAACTGTTCAATTTCTCAGGTTTATACAACCCCCGGAAGTACAGACAACAAAGCAGACATAATCTGGAATATCGATAACCTCTAAAGCTCTGAGAGGACCCTAAAATAAAAGCAACTCCTGGAGGCTGGCATTATCGAAGATTTTCACGAATTCCACGAAACTCACGCCAGCTGCTTCACACATCGAAAATGATGAGAGGCTGGTGGATTGAAGTGTAGTCAAACAGTATTTTTCAACAGTAAGTTTGGCAGTTTGAGATGCACTTATAGATTTTCTTTCCCTACTGCACTCGCCACTCAAGTCTCAAATTTGATTTTACTCAACCGTATTATTATTTAGTTCCTTTTATTAAAATCTGTTTCAGATGTGGACAGTAATGCCCACTGGACAACTAAGAAGTGCTCCTTCGTTACCCTCCTTCTCCAAACACTACATGTCAATAGTCCCAACAAAAAGTTATAAAACAAGCAGTCTTGACCTTCCTTTCCCACCGTGACAGGCAGAATAAATAGAGCTATCAAGTATTAGTAACTGCTAAAGAGGGATTGTCGTTGAGAGAGGCACTTAAAGACCAATCCAGAGCTTTCTGCCTTCAGAATGTTCTTTTCGCAGCATACCAAGTTTTACACCAGATAGAAACAGAATCCTTAGCAAACTGGGCCCAGCCCAAAACGGACCAAATCAGACTGATAAAAACTGCTCATAATCATATCTGCAGCTATAGCAGCAATTTAAAATCTATGTAATAGCTGATATCGACGACTCCGAACTGAATACTAATCGATGCAGATGCAATACTGGTCACGTCTGTTACTTGTATTTAAAAATAATCAGAGACAGACAATGTTATTTCTATAAAATTCTAGTATAATGATGCTCTGCGTATTATACTTATAGTTATAGCTGCTTTGCCATTTCTAATTATGAATTTCATCCTAGAGTATAACTTTTAAGATAATTAACTAATCAATATTAACCAAACACTAGAAAGTTTTTGTTGAAAACTTGTTTCAGTTAAAACAAAATTAAAGTCTAGACAGGGATTTGAACCCTCAGCTACCACAGCCAATCGCCTGCTTAGCGAACTAGGCTATCCTGCTGGAGGTCGAAAATCAATATTAACTACCATATTGTAGACCTTGCGCATTCCCTGCGCAAAGTTATTCTTCGACGGTGCAAATTTTTAGCCATTTTGGGGCGATTGCGCGGCACGAAAGCTTTAAACCTTCATAACTCTACCCAGGAACAGTCCCCAGAACTGATTAAGCTTGCGATGTCCGAGTTAGAGCATGTACTTTAAGAGGATGTAAGATTTATCACAGCTACGTCCACACAGTGGCATCGCAAACGGGTATAGTCGCGAACGCCAAGAAACCGCAGGGTTGTGACAGAAAGACACCTAACAGTAACACAGTACTCCGTGGAACATTACTTCCTTTACCAGAAAACTGGACGATATGAAACGGAAAATCGTCACGCTTATCATAAACGCTAACTTTAAATTTACCATCAACAATACTCACATTAAGATCCAGAGGCGGCTCGTGGGAGCTGGCTGGCAGTTTTGTTGGGGGTCCAATCGATGGGGGCTTGGGAGCCGGCTCAAGCTAATCCGTCCAAACTACCGATTACATTACACACAGGGCCTTGTAAATGTAATGTGTAACACTTTACAGGCGACAACAAACAACTAAACAACAACAAAAACTTATAACATGGGTGAAACTTGTCATACGTTGTATGACCCGCCGCGCACGAAGTGCGCGGCTCCCCCTGTAGCGTCGAAGACGCTACTATAGTGAAGCGACCGTGGGGGTCACCACGTAATACAAGGTGAAACAGGACACCACACGTGTACGATCTCAGCCGCGTAGTATCATATAGCAGTCAAATTGCAAAGGGTCCTGGACCCCCAAATCGAGGCAAATCATAATAGAGTACCTGTAGTGGGATGCGCACGATGTGCTTTGTAACGTTTACAATTAACTATGTGTTAAAACTGCGCGGCTGAGTAGTCCAGAGGTACTGGTAGGATTGGACTCCCTACAACACAAAATTTCACGAAGATCATGCGTGCGCTTACATTAAAACGTATGATAGTAAATGAAGACCTTTATATTGCGATTTGTTATTTCCTAACACTTTACACTATTACTAATTATTATTTCTACTTTAAGCACCAGCCGACAGATAATAATTTTAAGGCGTCCACGGACGCCTGGACGCCCCCAATAGCCGCCTGTGTTAAGATCTAGTACATTAGCACTAGAATCTTCCTCATTCTCTTTATTCAAAGTTAGGCTAGTGGGATAGATATTCCCGACATGCTGACCAAAAACACCATCTGAATTAATAGACGTGATATCTAATCATCGATCAACCTGAAGGTTTTACCTAATATCCTAGCACTGAAATAGTCACGTTTGTATAACTTTTCAAGGTACTACCCATTCTCATAGTACCACAAAGTAAGATTAGCAATATAAGGACCAGGATCTACTCCAATAGGAACACCAATTATTTGGCGGAAAACTTGGCTACCCATAGTAAAATAACAATTATCGATCAGAAAATTAACTGCTTCGATAAAAGAGTTCTCGTCGAAAGAAAAAGTATTATCCCTTGGTTTATTGACCCAAGCAAAAGGTTTACTATAAATTGAAATATATTTACACTTAGCATGCTTGAATATCAACTTAATAACACTAGAAATAAAGAGCTGTATTAATATCAGAATGGTCAAGATTAGTATATAGAGTACTAAAATCGTAAGTCTGTATGTTCCTAGCAAAATCTGTATTAGCAAAACAGTTTATAATATTATTCTCTATAATCCAATTCCTATTAACCCCTGTAACTTTAAGAATCATATTAGAGTAACTGATAACTTTCTTATACACAGCTTTAACTTTAAGTCCTAAAGAGCTAAAGCAATCCGTGAGGCTAAAGGTGACCCCCACGGTCGTTCCACTTTATCGTCCTGACGATACAGGGGGAGCCGCGCACTCGTGCGCGGCGGGTCATACAACGTATGACAAATGTATGTAACTTGAAAATATTACTTCCGGGAAGAACTGTTGGTGGCTGGTAGTTGATACAAACCTTCAATCCAGTGGGACACCAGTCAGTTTAAGTTGTATTATTTAAATATATTTTGTGTAATTTCATTTCCAATCAATTCCTTGACAATTTTTAATTGTTTTCTATTAATACTACAGCAAGCAGACTACTAGTACTAATTTCAGTGTACAGGCTGATTAATGTAACTTCAGGAAGGCGCGACAGTGAAAACAGTTGATAAAGGGAAAGAGAAGCTACGCGCATTAATGCTAAAATGTGATGCTTTTGGCGGAGATATAAACAGAAACTGCGCCTTATAATTACGTAAAACGTATTAAACGGAATTAAACGGAATTAAACGTAAAGTTGTCGGAGATGGCACTAACACCATTGTCTCGACTATACATGAATGAATAACATACCTAGAGTAAGTAAAAGTCGAATTTCAAGAATCATGAAAATTTAAAACAAAATCACTTAAAATTTAACTCCCGTACAAACAACCGAAATAGAAATAATTGCTGAAATAATAATTTAACATAAGAGGAAGTAGTAAAAGGCAACTTCAATGATCACTAAACTGCGATATCAGTATTCGAGTCCACAAAAGACACATTCATACTCGAACAGTCCTCCCACTCGCAGTCACAACGTACTGGAAACAGTAATCACTAGTGTTCCATGCTCGTACAACTGATCGTGAAATCTGCATAATGATGGTTGATCTGTATTATGTCTGTTGAGTTGGTCGTCCTGATGGGGTGACAGGCAGTATTGGCGTCTTTTTCGGGTTCCTGATGCGGTGACAGTTGCAAAGGAATTTGCCCAGTTCTTGCACATGGGCAGAATTCATGATAGCTCCGTATTCCTTGAGCAGCAAAAGACTCTTAAGGTTTTCCGACAGTGAGAGTCTCGCTGAGTGGTACATTGGACATTCAGTGAGGCAGTGTTCTTCATTTTCAATGATTGTTCCTTCGAAAAAGGGGAGATATTCTAAGCCTTGAACGTTCTCCTTGTTGCAGCAGAATCTGCAGGCTCTCGTCCACGTTCCAGTTTCTTTTGTGTATCTCCCTCTCTCAATAAGGAGGTCATGGCTACTGGAGCGGATTTTTGCTATGTGCATGCGACATTGACTATTCTTTAGATTGAGATACTGCTCCTCTCCGAATACCTGTTTGATAGTGCAGTAAAATTGCATTTTCTTTTGGGATGCTAAATCTGTTCTCCAATCTTTTACAAAGTGGTCGACCAAATTTCCATGTGCAGTTGAGGTCGTTCCCTCTGCTCTGCGTTGGTCGGATCGAGCGAATTTGGCCGCTTTGGATTCAGACTGAGCGATCGAGTTCCAGGTCTTATACCAAGAGAGGTTTAGATTCTTCTGCTCTTGGAATGTCTGATGTACAAGAAAGTTGACGCTGCTCACGTCGGGTGATGTCTGAGACAATCTGTCGAAGTATCTCAGGCATTGTGGTAGTACCGACAGGGCCCATGGTAACCTGCCCGTATCTCCGTAACAGAAGTTGTTGTTAGCTTTCTTGTGTAAGCCGAGCACCCACTTCAGCATTTTCAGGTGTGTTGTCTCAAGTGCGTCCTTTGTTGCAGCTCTAGCAAGGTTCTGTCTTGAACCATCAGCACAAGCCATCTCCTTTGCCATTTTTGTACACGGTAGCCATATCTGACAGGCATACGTAGCGACTGGTTTAACGAGGCTGTCTATAAGCTTGAGCATGGTTTTTGTTGTTAATGCTCGAGTGTCGACCATGCGTCTGATCGAGAAAAATGCTCTTAGTGCTTTTTTCCTCAGTTCGTTCATGGCACCTTTAAATGAACCGTTGAGACTGAATTGAATGCCTAGATAGCAGTAAGATTTGGCCGATGAGATGTCCAGGTTCCCTAGTTTGAACCCGTAGGAGCACTTCAGCAAACGAGAGCTCGAGTTGAATACCATGATTTTGGTTTTGTCGATGTTAATTGACAGTTCCCATTTACTTGCAAATTCGTGCAGGCAATCAAGTTGTTTCTGCAGGCTTTTGGCGTCGAGTGCCAAAAGTATCAGGTCGTCTGCCCACAGAAGATGGCTGACCGAGAAG